TATTTGAATTTAATTTATTGGCAGCGACGCATTTTCCCTTCAAACTTCGAAGGTACGCCACAAGCAAAACCCAGTCGAGCCACCTTAAGCTGTCTTGATAAACTTTTTTCTTTTCTGTTGAAGTTGTTTTGATAAACTTTATATTTTTTTGTGTCGTGTCTTTGACTGAAATCAACAAGCCTTCCGCGTCTGGCCTCTTGTTTGATTGACAAATGCTCATTACTTCAATTCATATTAGCTTCATATTGCTTAGCTTGGTATTATTCAAAGAATAGAAGCTCAAATTACGGGGCAAAAGAAGAAAACACAAAGAAATTCCAATGGTCTGGTTGGTACGTCGATTGAAGTTTTTAGCATTTGATCTTCTTCATTTTACCAAAATGATTGCACTCTTAGAAGAAAGTAAATGAAAGACACTTGATAGAGTAAGCCACATTTCAACACAAATTATAATAGGCTGCATTATATCACGATCTTACTGTAAACCTTTTCGATGCTCGTCCATACTCATCTCAAAAATCCGGATGCCATTTTCTTGATATTCTTTATAAATGCATTTACAAGTATTGTTGCTAATGAGCCTCTTCTCTTTTAGACAGAATATAACACAGAAGTTCATCAGCCTAGACTCTTTGAAAAATGCAGAAAGAAACATACAGTCAAATGAACAATACTGATACAGGGTAAGTATTACTAGTAATCTCATTAATGAAGGTTTTGTAGAGGTGGTACACTCGCCTACGGCGCAATTTCAAAAATGTTGCGAGACAAGTTGCAGCAATCGTTGCGAAAAGTAGAGTTCGTTTCTACTTTTGGCAACGATTGCGTCTCCGTTGTACTGTGTAGACACTGTGTAGTTGCACCGTGAAGTTGCAGAGAAAAAGTGCTCCGTGTAAACTAAACGCACCTAAACGAATTCTACTTTTCGCAACGATTGCTGCAACTTATCTCGCAACATTTTTCAAACTGTTCTGTAGGTTACTCGCTGCAATGCTCCGGGCAAATTGTGTAGCAAATTGCAGAGAAAATTGCTTCATGTAATCGCGCCTTTAGCCGTGCACTGTCTTTTACCAGTCCTGAGGCTGTTTCAGGATTCAATGAAATTTGGAGGGTTTTTTTAGTACGAAGCAAGGTTAGTCAATGGGGTTGGCTTTCAGAGGCAAAACGCAATGTTTTCCCATTTCAGACCACATGTCATTCCCTCGCGTATCATTCTTTGTTTAACAGTTGCGCATGATATTTAAGATACATGAATATGTATACAACCGTGACAAAAATCTTATCCTCTCAGAAATAACACGTGGTTCGAAATAGATAAACATTGCACCAAATGGAAGACGAATTGCCCTATTTCACTATGACGTTAAATCAAAACAATCTATTGTTTAAACGCAAAGGATCATGGTCGTCGGAGGGGGTCAAATCAAGGCAAATTTACCGAAAATTGTTCTAAAACCCGTATCAATCCACGAAGAGAAATAGAATAGACAGCAAACGCTCAGAATTTTTTTTAGTACATATTAACACATATTATATCTGAAAACCAGGCCATTTTAGATTAAACTGTTTYGCTAGGAGAAAATTTTGTTGAATTTTCTATTGGATTTGGCGATTCTATCCCCCACATAAACAAGCGGTGACGTCATAGTGAAATAGGGCAATTGATATTAAAAAAATACCCTGCAGCTGGCTGGGGCCTAACTACGTCCATTGCCTATATTTATCAACAGATCCCCTGTATGTTCAGAGTTCCCCAAAACAAATGCAAGCATTTATACTAAAAGCCCACATCTGTTGTCGACTGTGACCACCAACTCCATTAACAGATATGGCGGTCTACCAAGCCCATATGAAAAGGAGCCAATGCCTGTACCTCCATGGTCTTCGAATAGTGATTGCGTTCCTCCGAATGCAAGCGTTGTAGGCAACGATGCTTTCTCTTCACGTATTTATCATTCCAACAAGTTTAGTAGTGAACCTGAGAAATTCCAAGAACGCTACTCACAGGCTGGTGTAGTCATGTCTCCTAAGCATC